TGACATCAAAAGGTTTCAAAGTGTTGAAAATCTCTGACCTACATTTTCCAACTTTGTGTAAGGCTATTCGGTTTTCTTTATCACCCCACTCCCATGTTAACTGAGCGAAAGAAAAATACAAACTAATTGGGATTATTATCCCAACATGTAAAGAAATTAATCTGATAGAGGTAAGGATTACCTAAATAATATCCAAGGATGTAAAGAAAGTTCAAATTTTGTAACAATATTTATGGCAGAACTAGGTATATTCTTGAAGAAAATTTAATCATTAAAAACTTTCTTCCTCATGTATTCATCGTAGAACGAAGTAATCAAGAGTTAGCTAGTCAAATACAGTAAAAAACATGAGATAATTTTTTTTTTTTTAAATTAGCGATAGTTGAGGAGGATATCTCGGAAACTAAGCGGCAAATTTCATCACCTTTATTATGAATAGAATGTCTTTGTTGCTGCGATGGATAATTTTATTAATATAAGCGAAAACCCGAAATACTGCAATAAACATGACATACAATTTTTTTTAAACATTAATTATAGTTGACGACGGATATCCTGGAAACCAAGCGAGCAAGTGAAAAGAGGTATATAATCCATCATATTGCAAATTTTATCAGCTTCTATTTTGTCTAGAACGCCTTCGTCGATGCGATAGATAGTTTTATTGATAAAAGCGAAAACTGCTAGGCGCACCTCTCAGTTCTGGCTCACCACCAAGGAGTGGGGGGGCCTTTAGTGTGTTTACCTCCTTACCAGTCCAAACCATGTCCCAAAGTAAAAAACTGTGACCCCACCATTTCCTTCTATAACCATTCATTGACTTGACTAATCGTAAATGTTTTGATAGAGAAGGCAGTGAAAATAATAAAAAAAATTGTCGTCGATTCACAATCGGAAGTAATATTAACGGAACTAGAAGTTTTCATTATTTTAGACTTCAATATATGTTTAAAGCAAAACATTTTTTTAGTAAAACAGTACCAGTTTTAGAACACCGAATCCCTACTATTTCGTATCCTATGTGTATGAAAGTACCTGGTGGATCGGAATGGTCAAGAGTAAATCATTAAAAACGTAATTATTTGTGCATCTGTCTGCCCCAAGTGAAAAGTTTTTTGGCCTCAATAAGAAGAAAAACCTCTTGTAACTTTCTCTTTATTTTTGATTCTTTTTCGTTTTCTATCATCAAGCTTTCCACATAGATCATTAATACTCCACTGCTATTTAATATTTATTACCTCTACATTACACTTTTATTGCCTCATACAAAATCTCCTTTATTGCCTTATACATAATCTCCGTTTCCGCTCAGCCTTCAGTTTTCTTGTTCTTTTTCTTTAACCCCATTAAAGAAATTCAATTTTGTTTTCTTTAATCTCACCTTTCACGCAGATCCTTTATTACTTTGCATTTAATATCTTTGCATTATACTATCTCCTTACTTTATCCTACATTATACTTAATATATACTGTATATCAATATAATACCTCTTTACTTCAATTATTTTTCGTTTTCTTTAATCTCACGTTTTGAGTTTATTTCATTATTATTTAATATTTATTATCTCTGTTTTAGACTATATCTAGATTATTTTCATCCTCTTTCAATTAAACTTTTGCTTAATGACTCATATATGTTTAACTTTTCCTTAATAAACAATTTATCTACAATAACTCTCTCGTCCATCATATACGTTCCTGTGCTTTAGTTCACATATTTCGGTTAACCATTGCAGATGGCACGATCTGCCAGCTCTTCCCCTCTCGCTTTAATACGTTTGTCTGTCTCACAGACAGTTTGTTGATAGAACAGGTTCGTATATTTTTCTTATCTTAGTTTTCTAATTTTCTTCCTCCTTCCCATCAATCAATTTTCCATATCTTCATATCTACTTTCCATATATTGATACATTTGAACATTGATACCTCATCCGTCGAAATCCATCACTCCTGAGAGCCGAAAAACTGATAAATACAGTGGGCAAAAAAAGTATTCGTACATTCCGCTTTTTGGCCAAAATGGTTCACTATAATTTTTTTTAACTTGAAATAACGACAGATATCAATTACAAACTTCTTTTTGCATAAATTTTATGTAATGCCAAAATGAAAAATCTCTTATAACTTTTATGAAATTAATATTTCAATCATTTTTACACAAAAAAAAAAGTATTCGTGTACTAGAGCAAATGTTAATGACACGATAATTTAAGTTATTAAAACAGTGTTTTAATGTTCTATTTATAACCCGTTATTACAGAGGATTAGAGGATAAAACTGCACGAGAAATTGCTTGTTTAGTTCAGAACTAAATAATATTTCTTCGGCTATGGGTCCAAATAATTGAGTTGTCATCTTAAAGAATACGTAAAACATTTTCAACAGGGTTTTGAGTAAGCGGTATATTGAAAACAAAAGTTCATACTACCTCATACGACAGTGAAATACATTATAAAAAAACTTAAATCCGAATCAGTGAACAATAAATTCCGCCCAGAGGAAAACTCTTGTGGACAATGCAAAAATCTCTTGAAATTGTGCTTAAAATGACGAAAAATCTCAAATTAAGTGCTCGAGAGGTTTCGGCTTACATCGCGTCAGATTATGGGAAATCTGTAATACCTCAAACTATGAGCAATCGGCTACATGCATGAAGGCAGAGCGGTAAGTAATAAACTTTTTATAAATAAAATAAACAGAGAAAAAAGATCAGAGTTTGCCCGAGAACATGTTAAGAAACCCTACATATTTTGGGGAAATGCGTTGTTTTCGGATGAAAGCAAGTATAATATATTAGTATCAGACGGGAAAAAAAATTTGGTGCCAAGGAGTTGGTAAACTAGCCTTTATTGAGGAGATTATGAATGCTGACAAATGTGTTGCGATGTAATTTAAATAAAAGTTTGTGAAAGTTAGGAATAGAGAATACATATATGTTCAGCAGGACAACGATCTTAAGCACACGGCCATAAAACCATACAACGGTTGCTGTATAATGTTCGAAAAATTATCAAAACACCCACACAATCATAGGATCTTAATCCAATTGAAAATGTATGAGCGCTACTGTAACTAAATCCGAAAATATCCTTGTTCCTCTCGGAATAACTTAATATACGATCTGAAAAAATCTTGGGAAGAAAGTGGACCAGAGACCAAGAGGCTCGTGGAACCAATGCCAAGGAGACTCAATACTGTGATAAACGTGAAAGGGTACGCTACAAAATATTAAAATTAACTGAAATTGTTATTTATTATATTTTCTTTGGGTTAGTTAAATGTACAAATTTTTTTTTTGCGCTTCATATTTGAAAATTTTGAAATTTTTCATACAAAGTGAGTTATAAAATTTTACTTTTTTTGTACAATTAAGGCAAAATGAAGTTTCTAATTGTTATCTATGGTTATTTTATATTGAAAATATAAAGAAAAAGGATTTTGGTTAAAACATGTACGAATACAGATGGTGTAGGAATACTTTTTTGGCCACTGCGCTAGCGGATCCAGGATTTAATTTTGGGGGGCTTCAGCCCGAAAGCTTTTTTTTTTCATAAAAATGACGATAATTACTTTGAAAAAAAGAAATAAACTAACTATCTATATGAACTGGTGTTAAAGTGATTCCTTAAGTCCTTTTAAATGTAATTACACGAACAATAATACTTTGAGAGATAATTTTTTAATATATTTTTCGATAAAACATAGATATATTTAACCATTTTGGAGGGGGGGGGCTTCAGCCCGAAAGCCTCCCCTGTAGATCCGCCGGTGGGCCACTGTATATATTCAGAAATAATATATATAAAAAAGAAGAAGATAGTCAAAACTCTAGTACCTAAGAAGTTGTATACTTGTTTTTGTACTGTTTGCATCAACCTAATAATAAAAAACAAACATAGTTAAATTCTTAACTTTGTAGTAGCATTCAAGATGTTTAATCTACAAGACAGAAATCAATATGTATTGGGCATGTAGATTTATTCTATGCAAATATTAGTATCAGAGAACCTAAATTGAGAAAAAAGTTAATATTTTTATCCAATACCAATCAAATCCTCAGAAAGCACTGGAATTATATTTTCTTGACAGCACAGTACATACATAATGGGAATACATAATGGGAAAATTCCATACATGAAATTATAGATTCCATAGGATGAGAAATCTTCTGTTGGGTTCTTATCAATTATTTACTACTAGTTAGTTACTATGTAGGTATAATTCCTTCTTAAAGAATTGTGTGTTTTCACATAAAATCGGTCATATTCTTAAAAATATTTTCATAAGCAAAAAAAAAAAATGGTTCCTTAATAGATTTACATGAGAAATTTTAGATGTGCTATGCAGATTTAAAGTACCAAGACGAAGTTATGACCAAAGTTTCATTAATGAACAAATTTTGCTGTTTATTTTGGCAGTTTTTCACGTACTAAATCGAATGAAGGTAGTGAACTTACAACCAAACATTTATATGAGGTAATTTTAATTTATGCAGAATTTAATACTTTAAATCTTATCAATGAAAAGTTTTTTTGATTGGACAAATTATTTTTTAAAAATGGATAAATATTTTTTTACCGCACCACTAGCGCTCGCCTGGAGGGGGGAAAATCATATTTGAATTATAATAAAGTAGTTTGAAAAGTTTTCTATCTTCGTTTGGATTGTTTGATGGATTTCGCCCCTTTCTTCTCCACCCCTCCCCCTGCCTACTGACTTAACCGATCATAAAAATAGATAGAATAAATCTACATTATAAAACTAAATAATGAACTGAGAAATTAGATGAAAGAAGATAATTTACTTCCAAAAGGTACACACAGAAACCAAAGTTGTGAAAATTGGTCCTTAAATACGCTCAGAATAAGTGTAAAATATCAGATATGTTATCAACACATCTAGATATTCTACTTCAATTAATATAATTTAACATACTGGATTAGAGCTTGCCTAATGTTCACTAATTAAGTAAAATATAAAGATAATTGAGCATTTATTACCTAATACTCCAGCAGATAGGATGGAGGAAATCCATGATAATTAGGTAAAGTTGATATTTAAGCACTATCACATGACAGGTTATGCACTAACGAAACACTTCACGAACTCCACCTACACCAATACCTTCAAAACCACTGCACCAAATGGTGTTCCTTAGCAATAGGAATGTTGTGGTTAGAACGGCTACATGAAACCTTCTTTGAGTAAAGAACGGCTACCTGGAACCTTACCTTAGATGAGAACGGCTACATGGAACCATATCCAAGTTGAGAACGGTTGCATGGAACCTTTGGAAGAAGAATGGCTTGGAACGAATTCCAGCTCCAGTTCCAACAACAACCAGCTACTAAAATCTGTGTATAATAAAAATTCAATCGGTATTATTATTTTAATTATTTGATTGAAAGTAAAAGTCTAGAATTTCATGTTCAGTGTTCGATTGTAATGATACAATTCTAATTTTATATATATTTATTTATTGAAATCATTAAAATATGGAACTATATTTAACTATACCATTCTACATTATCACAACTTTGTTTACATTTTAACTTCCATGTTAAATTCGCATTTATTTTTTGTGTATATATATATATATATATATATATATATATATATATATATATATATATATATATATATTTATATATAATACATTGTATTGTAACGATACTGTAACTCGCTACATCAACCAGTTCTATTATCTCATTAGTTCTTCAATTTCTTCATCTGGTAACCTCTACTAGTTTAATATTAATTGATATTTTATCACAATTTTCATTACATTTTAACTCAGATGCTAAATTCATTTTTATTTTTGTATAGTCCATTATATACAGGGAGTCCCCCAAGTAGAGGAAAACTTTTGTAGGAGTGATAGCAGACTTCAAGAGCTAAAAAAGTTCATATAAACATAGGCCCAGACTTTCGATTTTGATCGGGGGTGCGATAAACCAACAAAAAAAAAAAGCTTTTAAAAAAGTTTTTATTATGTTTAAAAATTCAATCTAATTATTGTGATACGAGCAAATATATTTTAATATTTAAAATTGATTTGTTTATATTTTTGTATGGTTTTAAGGATTTTTATTTTATTTTTTTATTTACTTATTATATATGTTTGAAAATATCTTTAAAAAATATAATTGATTATATAATACGTATTTGTTTAGATTAAACGCAGAGGAAATCGGAGAATGGTACATTTTTATAAGTTTTGCAGATGCATTTTTAGATAAAAATGAATAATGTAAAAATTTCTTTGATTTCTTAGTATGTACAAGCTCAAATAAAAATAGAACTTTTTCACACTCCAAATAGTTTTTTTTGCGGAAAATGTGATAAGAATATCACATGAACATTGAGAGATTATTGAATAATAAAATCCTAGGAAATTTCGATATATATCTTTTTCATTATCCTTGAATATAAATGACAATTTAAATAAAGGTAAGACTTAGGTACTAGTACAATACTAAGACTATACTAATTAATACTTAGACGTGTTTTCAGCAAAAATGGCTATAATTAATGGTTGGAAAGCTGTTATTAAGTATATAAGTAAGTAAATATAAAGTAAGGCTATGTATGTTAATTCACCACATTTTCCCTGTGGCCATTTTCAAATCATCTATAAGAAAAACTCACAATTAATTTCATCCAATACTGCTTTTAACATGCTATGATGGTGATGTTAGTCATCTTTTAAATCAACATTTTATGAATTATAATCTTAATTGAGTATTGTCAATCTGTTAATTTAGAAGTCAATTTAAGTGAAACAAAAGATAGAATGAGCATATTTTATAAATGATTGTATGAAATTAATTTTCTTAGTCTTACAGATGGCATGATAATGGCATCCTAGCGAATCATCATGAATTAATTGCTAATTACTTAATTTTAATATTTCTCTAGTTATCGCTTCGTATTAAAAAAAAAACATGACTTCTAAAAATACACACAAACACTTGGATTTCCTACTTCCGGCTGAAAATTGGTCCATTGTTTATATAAACTTTTTTGTAGCTCTTGAGTTCTGCTATCACTCCAGAAAAGAATTTCCGCTGCTTATGAAACACCCTGAGTATTGAACGCACCCCTCTCCCTCCCCCCGACCAATTCCTTAAATTAAAATCACGGTCAACCATCTCTACTTAATTGATATGAAACTATTTACATTTATCGTCATTTATGAAGATTTTCTTTAGATTTTAATCACTGCATATGAGTGCATTAATTCTTAAAGATATGGTCCAAGAGCTGAATCGAAATTATATGGCCTATTTTAAAAAAACTATATGTTATAAAAGTTATAATGTTCATTCTCAGGATTCACCAGTCCACCAACATAAGTGGGGATATTTTAAAACGGTTGAGAACAACGTTTTAACTCTTACAAAACTTCTGATAAACAAACACTAGATATCAAGCCCGTGCATGTTGAGTTGAATTACTGAATTTTCGAAAACCGCTTCTTCCAAAGATTTTATTCTCATACGAAAAATTTTAGACCTTGTAATATAAATATTTTTTATTCAATGAAAACGGTGAGGAAACTATACCGATATCTTACTTGACAGACTTTTTTTCTAATGATCGGCTATAGAAATCGGTAAATCCGTTTCATCCTAAGAGAATATATTTCCATATCTATTTAAACACTTTTACTTCCTAACTACTGAAGGTAGAGAAGCTTGGTATTCGTGCGGAAGGTAAAAAAAATTGTATGCTCAGAATCGAAAATTTCCACTCACGTTTTACGTTTCAGATATCAATGATCAAATTTGGTTCGGCGTCTGTCTTTCTGTAGTCAAATCGACGTAATTGGCATATCACGTTATGGCATATCACTACTACCGTTTATCCGATTATCATGCAATTTTCAGGGAATGTGCGGATTGGTGTCAGATGGTCCCATATCAAGTTCATCAAATTCCATCCAACTCTTCCGCTTACGCACGCGCAAATGTATTTCATTAGCTATGCCAATATTATAGAAACGACTGGTTCGATTTGCCTCAAAGTTGGAAGAAAGATAAACGTTTCATTGAATTCCGTGAGCTGCTTTGTCTTAAATATGCCCAAACGTATTTTTTGTGATAATAATTTATCTTAAAAACTGCACGTTCGATTTGGATCAAAGCTGGAGGGAAGTTAGCTATTTATAAACAAATGATCAAGTAGGTACCCATTTCAGAAAACTCCATTTCCTATTTTCAGAAAAAACTTCCGCTTTAAAAAAACTCGAATCTGAAAACGTATTGTTTTTAACAATTTTGAAAACGGTTCGTTCGATTAGACCGAAAGTTGAAGGAAATGCTGAGAATAGTGTAGAAATTCCCTAGTCTCAATTTAATTGCATTCTATTCAACAATTAAAATTAATATAAATAACTTTTTAAAATATAATGCCTTTGAAATGTGGAATGTATGGATCATGTGAAAGGGAGGTTATGTTCATAGTATTGTTTTATGAGGTTATACAATTTTAGACTGTATTCAAAAAAGTTAATTTGAACTAGATGTTTTGTCGTTTAGATATAACTAGCGTTACAAAACATTTCATGTAATTTTCAGTGATTGTGAGGTTTAAAATTTAGATGGTCCAATATAGATTTTGCCGAATCCCTTCACCTGCTTTCGCTTAAGTATGCGATTTTCCTTTACTTTATGTACCGAATATTTGTAAATTTAAATTAGATTTTGTATAGACTGTAAAAAATAACGTCATATTGTGAGTTTGTTTGTTCCAACCAACTGGTTCTGGTCTTGATTTTCCTCTCAAGCTTCAAAGTGGTAATGGGATTTATTCTAAGTCTTTTTGAAGTAGTTATAATTGAAGGGACGGATGTAAGCATCGGTAAGTTTTAAATATATATAGGCCTTTATTTTCTGTATTTTGTAAACTTCATTCGTATTATTAAAATTGTTCTTGTATTACTTTTGTTCTAACTGATGGAAAATGTCAGTAAATTTGGTGAGGAAGCTTTACTGACCTTACTTGGCAGACATTTTTAGATTGTTAAGGAAATTGTTATAAAAAGTAATTTAAAATTGGTATAGAAGTCGGGTGCCTACCCAAATGAAACACGAAAACGAGTGCTAACATGCACCAGTACGTAAGAGCAGAGATGGGCAAATACTACTCTGAGTACCGAGTACCAGGTATTCAAATTGAATCACCATTGAGAATTTGACCACTATTTTAGTTAATCGTTTAACGTCAACTGAAGTTGTAATTAAATTCTTTGGTACTCCAAAAAAGGTCAGTATTTGAGTAAAATATTTGGTACTCAGTACCATAGGCGCAGTCTTTTGATTTTGATTGGGAGAGGGGAGCGATGGACTAAAAAAAAAATGTCAACAGTTTTTATAATGTGTAAAAATTCAAAATAATTATTGGGAAACGAACAAATATAATATAATATTTAAAATAGTTTGTTTAGTTATACGGATTTTTATTCTTTTTTTTTTGTTACTGCTTTTATACACTTGGAAATATCTAAAAAAAAAAATTCAATTGAATATTTACCGTATTTGTTTAGATTAAAGCCGGAGGGATAGAGAAGCAGTCTTCATGACATTATTACATATCTAGAACTTTTTCGGTTATAAATAAATGACGTAAAACAGTAAAAAATATTTTTTATTTCTTATTGTGCATAATCTCAAATAAAAATACATTTTTATTATACAGTAAACTGGACAAAATTTACTTCTAACGAAAATGGAGTTTATTATTGTTAAAACCATTTAAAGAGGACTTTTAAGCGAACAAGCTAAGCTATGTTGTGATATAAAAAAGCCATGAATTACTTTTATTTTTTTTAGGTCCTCCCCTTCCTCGCCTTTAAAGCCTTAAATATGTAGTTTTCCCGGGCCAGGGGGTGAGAGCGGGGATTTAAAAGATCCGAGACGCGAACTCATCATAATTTTTGTATCAATTTGTCTTGATCAGGTTGTCGGGCAACGTCGGTGCTGTGCACAGAAAAGGCTCACAAAACCATTAATTACCTACGATTTTTATTTTTCATCCTCCCTAAGCTACAGGCCCCCCAAGGTTGATGGCGAATAAATTTCCCCCCTCCCACCCCTTCTCACAAAATTTTATTGCTTTCCTTTTCTTAAGAACAGCGCATGAGAATTAAAAGAAATGTAGATCATATCCAGTTACAGTTTCTCTTATCTCGTCCATGTTAGTCTCTTGTCTCCTGGTTGAAACTTTCCATTCAGGAAATTCTACCCCGTCGAAAGGTGCCTCCTCAAATATTCTAAATCGGGTCAAATGTGCCCCCTCAAAAATTTGTATGGCGCAGCTTGAGCCATGGAAAAACTGCCTGCTGGGCACCTCTGCAGAAACCCCACGTTTAGAAAAACTTAATTGTTTAGTAAGCATATTAATTAAGTTAAGGGTTTATTACGAAATAAGTTGAAATCCATCTCAAGTTGTCAAATAAATTATGTGTGTTGATATCCTACCACCTTAAACAGAATTATATATATAAGATTATAAATATTTGAAAATGTGCTTAAGAATTTATATTTACAAAATACTTTCAGCAAACATTACAACAATAAATGATTGCAAAGCTTTACTTTATTTGCACTTTATCTGGAATGTATTATATAAGTATGAATTCGTAAGTACACTTTTCAAACGTTTATTATCTTATATATTATTTCTGAAATATATATTTCTTTTCCCGCTCTCAGGAGTGATGGATTTTGACGAATGAGGTTTCTATAGAAAGGGAATATAACGCAGACTGCGCGATTCGTAATTTTGATTCCTAATTTTATACTCGGACTTAAATAAAAGTAAATGTAAAAGTCGAAGGTTTCAAACCGTATGCCTTCTCAACGAATCGAGACGTAACAAATATATTCATAATTTGCAAATAACTCGAAAAGTACGCAATACATTATACATGAGCATTTTAAAGCTCACTAAATTTCTAACAAAACGTAAAAAAAAAATCATCGAAATCGGACTATTTGGTGCAGAAGAGTAATAGCTTTCTGAACATTTAGTATTTGTTGTACTGCTAAGATTCAGTTGTATATGGGAATTGCCCCTTTTTTTCGGAGTACAGTATATAGTGCATCAATTAGTAAATATTTTTTAGTTTTAAAAACATTTTTATTTTTAATTAATTAAATTATAAATTTTATTTTTATTTATAAAAATGTGTCTTCCTTTAAAAACTTCTTCATTTTTTTAAAATGATAAAGTAACATACATCCTGATTGGACTATTTCTCCCTGAGAATTTGAGCCTTTTTTCTTTTGTCGTCATCAGATATTTAAAGCAATTTTTAGAAGCTTTTGTTAATTTATGATAATATAATGAAGTAAAAAGCTTATATTTAAGTTGTAATTTTAAGGAAACGCAATGGTTAAACCATGGCAGATTTTAAATCATATTTACAACTGATGGCTTACTAAATATATGTATTAAACCTTTGCGTATCAAACATAATTGAATGGAAGTTGTGCTGAACTCTTAAGGGCCCTTAATGTATTAAAGTTATTTTAAATATTAGGTTTATGCCGAGTATTCGCACGGGTCAACTAGTTTAAACTGATAATGAAACCGTGTTTTTTATTAAGCTCGGTATTATAGAAATTGATCACTATTTATAAGTGATGAATTAAATGTTTCCAATCGTAATATAAGCAATTTAATGAAAATAATTCAAACAATCAGCAAGCTGCTTTGTTTACACGTATTTATTTAATTATTATTATTATTTAATTATAATAATTATTTTACACGTAGATATTTGGATTGGGAACCTTTAATTTAATTGGTCACTTATGAATATATTTATGTTTATCTAGTTGAATGGTGATAAATTAAAATCGCGAATTAATAATGATTTTTTATTGTATGATTTTAATGATGATTCCAAGTATTGTAAATATTCTTGTACAATTCCTTAAGATATGTACATAAGATTTCCCGATTTGTATATTCAGTTTTTTAAAATTAAATTTCTTTTTCGGTCAATTCGTTTGCTCAAAAAACCTTCTAGTACTTTACAGTGGATTAAAACATGTTTCTGCACAATAATTCTTGGTGTTTTGAGCCCGAATTGTTTCAAAACTGTTAAAGAATCTCATCGAATAATTTGAACCATTAAACTAAATAATTGGTCCAGCCGCACGCTAAAAAAATAATTACATAACTCTTAGCCCGAGAGTCCGTGCAAAAAATTGACATTAAAGAAAATCGTAGCTCCCCTCTCCTCTTTAATTTAAAATGAAAATAAATTAAAAATAATAACAAATAATCTATATGAATGAATAAAATACTTAAATTAAAATTGATTAAGCAAACAGGCAAGGCGCCTAAATGGCAAGATTCATCTTAATTTTGAATTATGTTTTATTCTTCTTTCTTTCCATTTAATCCACAATTTCTTTGACCCCTTTTAGCCTCTGATAGAGTTCAATTCTGGTCAGAATTTGGTCCAAACTACAGTCGACCCCACTTGTTGGATTTCTTATTCACTGGAGTGGTCATTTTGGTTTTTATGCCTTGAAGGCTTCTTATCCAGCATAATTGTAGATATCATTCTTATATTGTTAACATCGGGTAAATATATTTTATAGGAAATGTTTTATTGAAATTTATAAATAATTAGTTAAACATCGAAAACATTGTGTTTATCTAGTCGTAAAAACTATAGAATCAGAAATATTTTTCCGTTCTTAACATTATTCGTTTTTAACTGCAAGAATTTCTAGAAACATTTTTATGTTATGGAGGCTGTCTCCTTCCCTCATATTTATATAATGTACACAAATATTAAATATCTTCAATTGCTGTTGTTGCTTCGCACCCAATCAAAATTGAAAATCTTAATATCTTGGAACAAGAATTCTTTTATAATCCTTTATAATATATTAAAATTTTAAACGTCTATTTAAGGTAGAATTATGTATAATATTTCACAATGGAACGGAAGCGTTTCCTAAATCTAAAAAAAGTAACGGAATGCAATAACTTTGTAGACCATACTCATAATTTTGGAACTGTAGCCGTTACAGAACATAATACGGCAGTGGAACTGGAACTATTAGAAGTGGTACATATTTTAACCGTTTCATAACAGCCTTTCTTAAGAACAAGGTCAGCTGGTTTAGTTGTACCTCTCCACTATGTTCCATGACCCTTGTTCGATGGATCATATCAGCATGCAATAAATAACAAGCAAGTTTGTTCCAATCAATCATCGATTACCAAAACCTTTTTTATTTTAAATACCGTCCAATCTTAGCGTAATTAACAATCACTTTTTTTTTCGAATTATATCAAAAATTGCTTAATAATATGACACTATATAGAGACCTATCGATATTCAAAGGTATCGATGCATAACTTTCAATAGTGATAGTACTTTAAATCTTCTTATCTCAGGAATATTTCGAGTTGAACAATTCTTTCAAAGTGATCCTTTTGTTTTAATGATTTTACGAATTGGCTTCAAACTGTCCCGCGCACATTTTTCAGCATTTAAGTTTACTTATTTTCACACTGGTAATAAATATGTTAGATTGATTGAGTATGTACTCCAAGATAGTGTTATCTGATAGCATTTTGTTCATTGTTCATTTTTATTATTATTCAGAAAGTGTAAAATTCATTCCAGATTTATATTCCCACACAATAGACAGGATAAAGTATCCATGGCAGTTTTCCAAGGTACTTTAGACCAGCATAATGGCATTACTGTGGAGTCAGTGTCAAATGCTTGTAATGACATCCAAGATTTTGCTGTTAAATTAGAAGGTTAGTGAAACTCTATTCATTCAGTCTTACTTTTGTTTATATTTTTATCTTTATATTTTTATTTCAGCTTCTCTTCTACAATGGGAAAAGGAGAGATTAAGAGGGGTATGGTTTAATGTTGATATCTCACAAATAGAATGGATCCCTATTTTATCACAGGTAAACTTCTGAAGTATGAAGTATACTTATGAAAGTGAATTTATGTCACTTAAATAGCTAGATTTTCTATAAATCATAAATTTTCTAGCATGTTTATAATTTTATTTTTACTAGATTTAATATTTATCTATATCTCTTTAATATTTAGCTTTTTATTTTAAAAGAAAGGATTTAACATACATCATGCTAAAGACAATAAGGTATCCCTTTATCTTTGGTTACCTAAACTTGAAAGTTGTAAAATTCCACCTTATGCACACAACATGGTTGGTGCTGGTGCTTTAGTGATTAACGACAATAATCAAATTCTAGTTGTACATGAACGATATCGCACTGTTTCATTTTGGAAACTTCCTGGTGGTTATGTAGATCCAGGTCAGTATCTCTCTATTATATAAAATGTTTTTAGTAATCATTATAAACGGTTTCTATATAATATAATTTTTTGCTTTACTTCAGGAGAAGAAATTGGTGAAGCAGCACAAAGAGAAGTGCTGGAAGAGACTGGGATTAAAACTGAATTTTTATCTCTTCTGTCAGTTAGACATTTACCAAGTGCTGTTTTTGGTTGCTCAGATTTATACTTTGTTGTTCGTTTGAAGCCATTAAGTTATGAAATAACTAAACAAGATGATGAAGTCGAGGATTGCCAATGGATGGATGTAAGTTTTTGAATTATATGACAATTTTTTTTTTTTTTTTTTCTTCACCTAATGTTTCCAATTTTTATTTGATTTTAGATCAATACATTCCTATCACATCCACAGGTTATTGACCATGTTCGTAATTTTGTAAAACAAGCTATATTAAATGAAAAAGAAGGGATTGCCATGATACGGAACAAGTCTGAACACCCACTTACAAAAAAACCACAATATATATTTACGGTTCATCGAGTGAAAGATGATTAATATGGTGTATTGAAAAAAAAAAATTAGCTTATTTTTATATATTGCTGAGAATCCAATATCGAATCATTTATTTTGTCTATTGTTTTTAGATAAATGAACTGTATGAAAAATAAAAATATTTTTCATTTTATATATTGCTCATAAAAATATTTTATATATTGCTGAGAATCCAATATCGAATCATTTATTTTGTCTATTGTTTTTAGATAAATGAACTGTATGAAAAATAAAAATATTTTTCATAATTGTGAATATCTTTAAAATTTGGATAAAGAACCAAAATTCTTCTCAAATTGTTGACCTCAATAGCTTTGGGGTTTTATTTTATTTTTATCTCTGTACCTTTTCGCATACTATTGCAAAAAGTCACTAAGTATCATTTCATGAAATCTAATCTGGGTACTTGGATGAATTTTCTCTTTGCGAAATCGGCATATTTTGCACAGTTGACTGTTATTAAAAATTATGTAAAATCATTATTTAAATCTTGAAACCCTTTTAAAAATATCTTATCCCTTTTAATCAGTCAGATTTTCTTTTTTTTTTTTTTTTTTGCTTCCCCCAAATATTTAAAAATAATAGGTAGGTAATATATGTAACTACTTGTTTTATCTCTGTTTTACTTATATTATTTTTTAAAAAATAGATTAAACTGTGCTCAGATTAGGCTTTGATAATTAAAAATTGCTTAGACAATACTGTGTGGCTCATTTCCCTCCATTTAGTAGAGCAAGGTAAGTTTACTACATTGCTATCAAATCTCATTAAATATCAAATCTACTGACTTGCTGCTATAAAATTTGTTGTAATACCGAATAAAACTTCAGTTAGATGTCTTGCTTCTGTTTGTATCATTTGTTAAATATTTTTAGAATGCAACAGCATAATTTATTATGAAAATTATTTTGTTTTTGTTTTTAAATTATAAAATGTATTTATTGCTATTATCTTACCTATTTATTGCTTCCTCACTATTGAAGATAAGTTTTGTATTTTACTCAGTTAAACAACAGGATAAAATATGTTGGTGGTCTTCAACCTTACTTTTAAAATTATCCTCAGGATTTCCCCAAAATATAGATTTTAACAGATTAGAAATGTAATTGAGAACAAAACTCATCACAAGATTTTTTTTTTATTTCTCCAAGGCCATTGTTAAATACAATTTTTGTATTACTGGTGTGAATCATTACAACCAGAACTGTCATTCTACGAAATTTTCTCTTAATAGTGGAAAGTGTTGGTATTCACTTTTTATTATTTATAGAGCATGTTAAAATAATTGGATTTTTACAAATAAAATGTAGGTCATTTTGATTAATGTGATTTTAGAGTACGTTTGGTGGAACATTATAGCCTGCAATATAGGAATGTCTTGAAGAGCCCCTTATATCTGAAGTAAAACACACTTTTCTTAAAAAGATGATATAATAAAAGCTGTGAGAGAAAAAGTTATAATTGCATTACTTATAATGTAGCCTTACATATTTTTTATTATTGGTATTCTTACCACTAGAAAGTAAAATAGATACCATTTACTAAAATGTCTTTAGATCAATACCACCTCCTCACTGAATTAAAATTTTTCGTTCTGAGCTTTCGGGCTGAAGCCCTCCCCCTTCTTAACATAATTTTCTTGGGTTTAGCACAATATGAAAGCTAACATTTTTTCTTGTCATAGAAAAAGAAGGAACAACCTATCTAATGATGAATTTAGGGCATAATAATTTTTATTATGGTACAGTATGATTGTAACAATTTTTTTTCATTTATATCTTATGTAGGTTTTTATGAGATTTTTCCTACTGTAAAAAATTAATTTCAATTTTCTAAGTAGTATTCAAACCAATATTATTATTTGTGTAAGGTTACTACAACCATAAACTTGTAATTTATCTGTATGACATGTTGTAATGTATAAAAAAAAAAAAAATAAATAAATAAAAAAATAAATGGTACAGTACCTAATATTTTTAGTTTATACTCAGGCAATATTATACTCTGTAAGCATTGTATGAAGAAGTCTTCTGTGTTTGGCATTATTGAATGAATTTTTATTCTATAGAATTTTAATCACTTCATATTTTAGTGATTGATGATCCTTCAAATAATCTAAGGTTCTGATTTACTCTTGAGATTATTCAATGTTCTTGATACTGAATTAAGGAATAAAAATATGCCCTAAATAAACATTTATTCTAAGCAAATTTCTACTCAATAAAAATTCATTCAGTGGAAATATTAACTTAATAATCATTTATTGAAACATTTATTATACCAAAAATAAATTCAAATTATCATTTTTTTTCAAAAGGTCCCTTGAGTTATGAGAGGAGCTTGTATAAAAAAAAAAAAAAAAATCGATATCAAATTTGCATTAGTCTGTGGGCCAGACCTTTGAACTTTGCTCAACTTGGAATAGAAATTATTTTCTGGCCATGTTGGGCTATTATAAAATTTTTGAATTGCATTTTTAACTGAGCTAAAGCTAAAAGATTGCCGATAACAAATCATAAATACTATTAAAATACCAAAAGTCCTATTTATTATATCACCAGTTGATTATGGATTGTTCGATCCATTGATTATGGATTGTTCGATCCGTTAATTATGGATTTTACGATTATTAGTTATTAAACTGTTATTTTCCATTGCAAAGTTTATTATAACAGAATGAAGAGATTTGCATTGTCTGTCATAGACAGGTCAAAAGTTGTCACACTAATTGTAAGTAGATTCTGTTGGAATATTGCAAAGGGAAAATTTATCAAATTATTTTCTATCGTAAAGTTTACTAATATGAAATTACCAGATTTTCATTGCTTGTCACAGATAGGTCAAAGGTTGTCACACTAACTTGGTAAAGTTGGGATTTCACAAAGGGAAAATTCATCAAATTATTCACTAATTTAATTTTCTAAAAGGTTACTCGATGGATTTTTGGAATAAACGGACGATAGATACCTAAACATTTAAATATAATATCAGATCTACATTCTATAATTAGGTATCTATTGGCCATTTATTCCAAAAATCCATCGAGTAACCTTTTAGAAAATTAAATTAGTAAATAATTTGATGATTTTCCCTTTGTGAAATCCCAACTTTACCCAGTTAGTGTGACAACCTTTGACCTATCCATGACAAGCAATGAAAATCTGGTAATTTCATATTAGTAAACTTTACGATAGAAAATAACAGTTTAATAACTAATAGTCATACAATCCATAATCATTTATAGGCTAAATATTGAGATATACTTTCTAATCTCTCTAGGCATACGTGGGCCTTTCCGTTGACAGAATGACTAACTCCAACTTCAACACTCTTTATTATTAATTTTAGTGATGTTTCTGTGGAAAAATTCATATTTTTATTCACAGTTCTATATTTTAACACTGCAATAACCTACTCTGGAATTAACTTACTCAACTCTGTATAGATATAACATTTCCAACTAATATCACAAAAATAACGTTACTCAAAAATGATGAAATTGGAGTTTGTCATTCTGTCAACTGAAGTTGTGTGGCTTATAAAAGTAGATAAAGTAACTAGATTTTTATTGCCTACCGTCGATATAATAAATAGATTTTTGTAGTTTTAATGATTTAATATCTATAAGCTTCAAGGATGCCCATCCCGCTCCCCAAGGTCGATGGCCCATGACCCAGCCCTCCTAAGATGTTTTATTTCTCTTTTTTTCTTAAAATCAGTGCAAGGTAAAGTAAAATTTTTAAAATCATAGGTCATATACAATTATACTTTCAGTGATCTGTACTATGCTTTTCTCTTGTCTCCTAATTTGAAACTTTTCGATCCGAAAATTCATTACCCCATCGAAATGGGCCCCCTCAAAAATTAAAAATGTACCAACCTCAAAAATTTGTATGAAACCTCCTTGTGGATATCTCCTGTAGATCTGATATTATATTTAAATATTTAGATATCTATTGTCCCTTTATTCCGAAAAATCATCATGTTACCCTTTAGAAAATTAAATTAGTGAATAATTTGATAAATTTTCCCTTTGTGATATCCCAACAGAATGCACTTACAATTAGTGTGACAACTTTTGACCTGTCTATGACTGACAATGCAAATTTCTTAATTCTGATATAATAAACTGCAATCGAAAATAACTGTTTAATAACTAATAATCGTACAATCCATAATCAACGGATCGAACAATCCATAATCAACGAATCGTACAATCCATAATCAACTGGTGATATAATAAATAGGACTTTTGTTATTTTAATAGTATTTATGATTTGTTATCTTCAATCTTTTAGCTTTAGCTCCGTTTAAAACGCACTTCAAAAATTTTATAATAGCCCAACATTGTCAGAAAATATTTTCTATTCAAAGTAGAGCGGTAAGTGAAAGTTGTGTGTTGCGCGCACCAGATTTTTAGTTATTACAATATTAACAATTTATTTTCATAACATTTGATCACATAATATTTTAAATCAATTAAAAATCGAAATACTTAAACTGCATTAAACATTCTTATCAGTATTTTTTGTTCAAACAGTTGTTTCAAAATATTTACTGAACTTCAGCGAGTAATTACAACGGTCAAAGATAAAAATAGGTTAAGCCATCCGTTCAAAAAGTCGTCTCATACGTTTTAGCAAATTGAACTCACACAAGTGACACAGCAATTTGCTAGAATTTTGAGCTTAAATTGTTCTAAAACACTCACTGAATTATTTAAGATATCAATATTAAAAACAGATCCGGTCGTTTACTCGAAAAATCTTTACTCACCTTTTAGCAAATGGATTAGATACATTTTATTCAATAACGGGTTATCCTATTGTGCTCTGAATTGTTTCAAAACACTTATGTAATCTAATGAATATTTAGAGCTATTAACTTAAAAATCGATCCAGCCGTTCGCTCAAAAATTATTACATAGGTTTTGGCGGACAATCAAAATGCATAACCCTCGTGTCACTCCCATTTTAAAACATTCGCGATTTTCATCGAATAAT